TACCATTGAGAAATGCACTTTTTATATTAGTAGTTTCAAGTTAGTAAATCTAATTTTGTAACAGTTTTATTTTCTATGTTTTTTTTGACTATATCAAGTCATATGCGAATTCAAGAAAATATTACCTTTAAGTCCAATCCGCCAGGATAATGAGACGTTATAGTCACAGGTAAAATCTACTCTTAAATCTTAAAACATCGTTTACTAGAGCCATCAGAAACATTTACAATGTTGAATAAAGTATCTGGAAATAAGGTTCAATATTAATTATATTAACAAAAATTTTCCAATCTTAATTATTTTTAATAAAATAATTTATTGAAGTATTTTTTACTGTGTATATATTACAAACGTAAAAAATTGCTTCAATAATTATAATTTTAATAGGTATAGAAATGACAAATAAGTTGATAGTCGACTTGTTTATAAAAGATAAATAGTTATCACTAAAAACTTATAAATCAGGACTAAGGACAACGACGTAGAATATGGTCTATTTTTTTTTATTTTACGAAGGTAGTAAATAAGTACACAACACGTCTGATGGTAAACGGTTATTGTAGTCTTTGGATGCCTGTAACATTAGTGAACAAACTCTTGCTCACCATCCACGAGTATAGGTACGTTTTAATTTAGGTTTCAATAAATAAATAAACCCTTGAACTGTACCAATGATATTTCTTTTTGAATACATTCCTGAGCTTATATACATTGATTAGAAATCTAAGTATTGCGTTGTTACACACATATACTAAAATAACAACTCCATCTAGTGGACAACCTGAGGAGTGTTTCTGTTGTTTTCATGGTTACAGAATTTAACTCAATACGGACAATAACAATTAGAGTCACGTGAGAGTTGCCGAGCCTGAAGAAATATTAATACATCGTTTTCGAAGAACGCCATACTGTAATCTATAGAGAAAACCTCTGCAGAGAGCTTATTCCATAGCCTGGGCGTTTACGCGAGAAAATTTCTCTGCAACTGTATGCGACCATTTAATTTCAGTGAATTTCCTGTCGATGGCGAGGGTGAGACGATAAAAGGTGGCTGTGTGCATCATTTCGAACATTTCCTCAAACCAAGCTGATATCCAAGTGCTTTGGCCCACAGACGAAAGCAGTATTTCACGATTATCTACTCAATATAAAAGAAAATACATATAACAACGCCGTTTTGTTCATAAATTGTAGATGCCAGTAGTTATCACGCTGGTGATATTTTAAAAGAGATGATGCTGCCCATCTCTTAACCAAGTCGCCTTTTATGACTCATTAATACACGCGGGAAAGGGATGGGGGGCCTATTCTATGCCAGGACCATACGGCTTCTTTTTTATATTCTTTTGATCATCATCATTCGTCTTTGTTAATTAATGTCTACAGTTTACTGGACATACTGTTTTATTGTTCGACCTATCACAAAAATTTAATGATGTCACTTTATCCGTCCGTATTTCTGTTATTGCACTATATTTCAGTAACTATAATAGTTTTAGATAGCAGTTAACTTATATTTATTTTTAAACTGTAATAATAATACAACATAAATTTTTGAAATTCTTGCTTATCTGTAGGGACACGTCATACAAAACCTCACTAGACGATTATGAAAATAATACAAGTAGCAAAATATTGCCATTGTACTTTAGTATTAGAATATTAGAGTTGCCATTTGCACACATTTTTAGAATGGGTATAATTTATCGTTAAGTGTTTGGGTTGGGTACACTATGAATATATGTATTATATTCCCATAAGTGTGCCCGTACTGTCGTTCTCTTCAGTAAATACTAATTTATTGTAAACTGTTCTTAGAATATATTCTCAATCTCTCAGTATTTGGTTACGTAGGGCTCTATTGAAATCAAATGTAAAGGATTAAGAGTCTATGCTAAATGATGGATAGGGTAGGGATAAGTTTAAGTATGGGTAGGTATTCAAATCGGTTTAAATTCAATAGATTAATTGAGTGGTAATTTGTTTGGTTTAATTTGTTTTGTATATTCATATATACAAAAGAAGTTAAACCAAATTAAATAAATTAAAACTATTTAATCTAGGCAAGCGTTATTAGACTTGCTATTAGACGTGTTATTAATAAATTATATAGAACATCGAGTATCAAAAACGTATTAAAATTTAGCCACCTAATTTGATGTTACGTCGAAATTTTTTTTTCTTAAAACAAAACATGTTCTTTCTGTGTTGCTAGATTGGAAGAAAATTTATTCAAAATTTTCTCAGATGCATGCTAGTTATAAAATAATATACATTTAATAATTAAAATGTTTAACGTGTGAGCCCAGAATTAATATTTCTTGTGGGTGTCGTAAGAGGCGAGTAAGGGAACTAAATGGGGTAGGGAGTAGTTGCCACGCTTCGCAGGCAGGTTGGCAACCGCAGTTAAGCATTAGTAACATTTTGAGAGGGACGCTACTGCCTATCCTTCGAGCATTAAGTTCCCTTAATTACCATTTACGATACCCACGGGAAAGGCAGGAGTGGCCTATTCTATGCCGGGACTAAACGGTACACATTTACAAAATTTTACTGAAATACTTTTAGTGATTCTGGATGACATATGGTCGGCAAGAGTAAATCTCCTGTCACGTAATACTAATATATAACATAGAAGTAAGAAAATATCAATTTACGTTTTTTTTTTCATATAAGAAATAGAAGAAATACTCAAAATAAATCTATATCAAGCAACATGGCCAATGTAGTATAGGTGTGTATAGTATAATGAGCTAATCCTTCTTTTATGAGGAGACACCTGTGACCAGTAATGGTAAAGTAAGGAAAGTACCTATATACCTATCTAAGTAACAGTAGATTGAAAGTGCTAATGTTATGGTGTTCTGTAAAACAGGCAACAAAGGTAAGAAAAATATATAAAGGGTTATTTTTATTCTTTATTGATAAAAAATATTTTCGATATTCTATAAGTAAAAGCAGCCATATTAACGAGATAAACACAAACGGGTATCTGTAAAATAAGAAGATTAAATTTCATTGTGTACTTAGCTAAAATATTTCTCAAGTCAAAAATGTTTTCAGCCAAAAATGTGCATTGTTCTTATTGGGCCTTATCCAAAGGAAAGCGCCATTATGTATGTAGCTATTGTATGGAGGGTAAAAAGGAAACTGGCTATTTATCAATAAAGAATTCTTAACATTAAATCGTGCTTTTGTCCAAAGGTTGCTTTTTTGTTTGATTCAACCTTTTTTAGATATTTCTACGACTTTGAGAATTTAATTACGATAATAGAAAATGTTATCGGATTAAAAACTCCATCAATTTTGTTTAGAGTAGACTAATTTAATAACAGATACAAGATCTATTTTTGAATATTATCCGGTAGAATATTTTTACTTAATGTCAAATCATGTGGTTGAATTAAAGTTATAATGTAAGTGCTGTTATCCTCGAGAACTAAAGTTCAAGGTAAGCTGCCCTCATACATCGTAATTTCACAGCCGTATTCCATGATTTAATTTTAAACAGATATGCAAGAATATCTGCTTGACGATTGCTCTACAAACATCCAGAAAATGAAATTGAATGGCAGCCCCGTCTGCAATACTGCTATATGCTGGCAAGATATCAGAGATGATAGGTGAGAATGACGTCAGGTTAGTTCAGTTGGCTATGACTTCGGATTTGAATTCAATGTATTCCAAAGGGGACTACGAGAAAGTCAGGCTGGCAGGGAAAATTGCTAGAAATAGGGTCATAACATCTTATTACTAGTACAGGTCGTTATTATGTTATATGCCACTAAATTATGGAGATGACTAGATGCATTGATAAGACAGGAGACTGGCCAATTTAAGGTGATTATCGAGGCGGAATGGCAATTACTTGATTGCCTGTCACCTAATATTTACTTACTGCTAGGGTCACGAGATTGTTTATATTTACCTACATAAATTATTACGGTGTTAAGTACTTCCAAACAAAACAAATTACGGATAAAAATAGAACCAAAATTTTAAATTGAACTATTAGTTTATGCTTGTGGGTTTTTTTTTACCACACGAGGGGCAAACGAGCGTGCGGCTCACCTGATGGTAAGTGACTACCGCCGCCCATGGTCACCCACAACACCAACGGCATTGTAGGTGTGCTGCCGGCCTTTTAAAAGTTAATATGCACTTTTTTTGAAGGTTATGTTGTCGTATCGGTTCGGAAATACTGCTGCTGGAAGTTGATTCCAAAGAGTGGTTGTGTCTTGAAAAACGCACGGTGGATGACCGTCATTCGTCCAGATGGTTGGGATGAAATTTTAGTTTATGGCGGGTTGTACGATGGTGAAAATCAGCAGCAGGTATCAATCCGAACAATTCTTCAGAGCACTCTCCATGATAAATTCGGTAGAAGATGCACAGAGATGCAACATCTCTACGCAGTTTCAGTGGGTCGAGTCGGATAGTAAGGTGCCGATCGTAAACAATTCGAGTTGTCCGACGAATTAAAAAGGGATGGTAGACGAGAATGATTAAGGTGATCAGGCTCTGTTGAAAACTGTGATAACTGCGATGCAAATGCGGCTAAACTATTATATATTTATAAGGACGACGAGATAAATAAAATACATATTACGTTTTCAACATCCATTTTTACTAAATTTGAATAGAATCGACAGAATGCATTACATTTTTAATAGTAAAAAAGTATAAGTGGCCAGTACGTGCAATAATAAAAAGAGTTCATTCTTACATATTAAATTGAATCTGCAACATCCTCTACATCTACCTAAAAATATGTTGAAAATAAATACTAAGGTGTTACAAGTTCAATATGTATCAGAAATATAGAAGATTACGCTAAAACTTCTAGTGGATAAAGTCTTTGATATGGTCGAATTTTAAAACCTAACGCTGTTTTGCAGATCGATCCACTTTATCTTTCTCAGTATATATTCCTGTGATTATTCCTAGTGGCCACTTTACTTGTCTCTCCTCAGTTTCTATCAATACAATATTATCAATTTTTAAATTAGTTTCTTTTTCCTTCTCTTTTTGTAATTCATCTCTCCACCACAAATTCTTAACAGATTTCTGTCTGCACGTTTAACTGATATTTGCAGGAAGGCTTTGGCAATATCGGCTGATATCCCTACAGTACCCTTTCGAAAGCCCATTAATAAATGAGGTATTTTATCTAAAAAGTTTAACCCCTTATTCAAATATGAATTCAGTGATCGACCATTTTTATCACAATCCGACGCGTCGAACACGGGTCTTAATTTTGTAGTTAAACTTGCATCTTTAACTACTCCTCTATGCGGTAAATAATGAACCGTCTGTCCTAATTTATCTTCCATAACTTCCTCTATTATGCCCTCTTCTTTCCAACAACTAATTACACTATGATACTCAAGAAACTTACCAGAGGACATTAACGATTTTGTATTCGTGGACAGTCTTTTTTCAACTATGCTGCGGTTGCTTAATAATTCTTCGTAACCCACCTTCAGCGGCAAAGACACTTCATATTTTCCATGTTCATTGACTGTGACACCTTCTTCAAAAGACATTACAGCCTCTGCCTCTGCTAGCAATTTAGACTTACTTTCTAAAGGATTTTTGATACCAAGCAACTCAAGTGACCAAAAATTTAATACATCTGATGAGCAAAATAAAGTATTTGTTAATTTACTGTTTATATTATTTACTTTACCTTGTAACACCCATCCTAATTTGGTCTTAATTGCTACTAAACTTTCCTTTATTTGGGTTACAATATTTGTCATGAGAAAACCTGAATAATCAGCACCGATTAACAATCCAATATCTGACATATTATTTTCATCTACATCTGTCAATATAATATTATGCTTTGTCAATACATTTTTTATGTCAGAATTATTACTAGTAAACCTAGGTATATTATTACATATTTTAGATTGCTCTAAGACAGCTAAATTGAACTTAAATGACTGGTTAACACTCTGAACAGTAATATTATAAACATTATGAATTTTAGATTTTACCTGGACTCCACTGAACAAAGAATGAGTCAATTTTTCTTTACCTATAGCATTAAGATCTAATTGTCGTGCAACATCTTTCTTCAAGTATGACCTCTGCGAACCGTTGTCAATCAATGCACGAACTATTACCTCTTTTCCGTTGTTGATGATCTTCACCATAATTGTTTGAAGTAAAGTTACGCTGACATTTTGAGAAGAAAAATTTGCAATAGTATGACTCGCTGGTACAATTTCTTTAATAGTGGTCTGCTTTTCAGAACTGTTAACTTGTCCGGGACACAGTGCTACTGAGTGTCGCTTTTTACATACACAGCACTGAATAAAAGCTTTACATATTTTGGCGTAGTGCCCTGGTTTTAGACATATTAGACAAGCTTTTTTCTTCTTAAGATGCTCTTTTCTTTGTTCTAACGACATCTTCGACAATTTATGACATTCTACACTAGCATGACCTTTGTCGCACCATATGCATACAGGTTTCCTTTCTGATCCGCTCACTCCGGCCAATAACGTTGATGCTGTCGATTCTGTTGCAACCGTTTGCTCTGATGTGTTACCAAAGTTTTTCGCTATTTTAATTCGTTGCTCGCTTTCGACTTCTCGTTTTATAAACAGTAGTAAACTTCCCAATTCATCTTGTACTTCAATTGGCTTAATTCTTTCTCATGCCTTCAAAATGTCTAATAGTAAAGATGATTCTACCATTGGAAGAATAAATGCGGCATATTTATCTTGTGTTACACCCAAAGTCTCTAAGGCGCGCAACTGGGAGTTGAGTTGATCATAAAGGTTTGATAAATTCATATTTTTGTCTTTATTTATTATTAATGTAAGTAGCTCTCTCACATAAACTTGAATCAATAATTCCTCACGTGCATATCTACGCTTCAAATCAGAAAGGCATTGTGTGTAGCTGGATTTATTTGGAGGAAAACTTTCAACAAAAGATCTTACTTCTGTTCCCGGCATCATAGATTGGACTAAGTATTGAAATTTATTCGCATCATTCATCTGTTTATCCTCATCTATTTTCTGGAACTGGCCCCAGAAGGGTAACCAACTACGTACACATCCGTCAAACTTCCTTAACTCCAGGACTGGTAATTTGTAATTCTTTGCTGTTTCAGATCCTGAAAAACCAACGCTTTCTTCTTTTGTTTTAGACAGAACATTCTCGACTCTTGTTTTCATTGTCAGCCATTTCTTATTGTAAGCTATTACCTCTTCATATTCTTTTTCTAGCCCACTTTCGTCATAATCTTTTTCAGCTAACAACATTTCTATATCTCTATCAAGTACTTCTAATTTCTTTATAACTCCTTGAAGTACTAAATAATTCAATTCGATCTCCGATATTTTTAGTTCATCTTTATCTAACAAATTTTCTAAAATATTAGAGATCTTACTAACTTGTGCTCTCGCCGCCCGTCGACACCGTTTCTTAGCATCCATCCTGGCAGGGTCGCCAATTGTTGAAAACTGTGATAACTGCGATGCAAATGCGGCTAAACTATTATATATTTATAAGGACGACGAGATAAATAAAATACATATTACGTTTTCAACATCCATTTTTACTAAATTTGAATAGAATCGACAGAATGCATTACATTTTTAATAGTAAAAAAGTATAAGTGGCCAGTACGTGCAATAATAAAAAGAGTTCATTCTTACATGTTAAATTGAATCTGCAACAGGCTCATTGTGACGAAATTATTAGTAATTAATCACAGCAGTGTTCATGGAATACTACGTGGAGATTGATTTCATAGGCTATATATTTTCTCTTTACGGCGATCAAGTTAAAGTAAATAGGTACGTATTTTCTAAATGTGATATTGGTACTTTTGGGGAATTTGAATTTTGTAATTTGTAAATTTTTTTTTATCCCCAGTAAATTAAAAAGCAAAGATGAAATAAATTAATCACAGAGCATTGAACAAGCGTAAGCGAAGCTCTACGGCTTATCAACAATTATTTTAAAAATAATTAAGTATTAGAATTTTTGTAATTAATTAATAATTTTATATTTTTTGTTTGTCGCTAGTAAATTTATTAAAAGCTATAAAATAAATTAATCACAGAGCATTAAAAAGTGGAATGCGTAAACAACATGCCACGGCCAATTAACATTGATTAAAAAATAATTGAATTCCTCTAACGCTGTCATTTGCAGTCTTGTCATCATTATATTTAATACAAATTTCACAGATTTTGATATTAATAAATTTATTTTCACTACCTGTATGTAGTAGACAGCATTGTTAGTATGAAATAATATAAGAAAGAAAATATAGGTATTTCACTACATTATATGATATTTTAAAAGGGATAAACTAATTAAATGAATAGAAATAAATAAAACGGTTAGTATTTGGAATTTGCGCTGAAGTGTAAGAAAATATTAAAGTGATGCTAATTAGTGCCATCCTCGAATTTAATATTCGTTTGCAATGTATTTACTTTTTTATATTATTAAAATATCGTTGAATCAAGATATCTTATTCAATTAGATTCAAGTAGAAAAATAATGCCCCGGAGAAAAAAGCAGGAAAGGCAAATCCCAACAATTCACTCGAAGGTGACCTGATCAGTCAGGATCGATGGCAAATAAAGTTCGAATATAATCTATCACCAACGTTAGGTGAAAAGAGATCTTTTAAGCACAATGTCGTCAATCTTATCCGACATTTAATTCCGTCTCGCGCAGGTGTCTCGCGGTAACAATGCGGGATTGAATCCCGTTAATCTATATAATAATCTATATAACGAAACTGTAACTGGATGATGTCTCTATATAGAAGGTATTTATTAAACATTATATGAAGGGTCTTAATAAGAGCATTAAAAGCCAAAACAATAATTTTTGAATTTGATATCTGTTAGTTTTTATATTTGTACTGGCAACAAACAATGCAATTTCTACAGTTGTGTTTTTAAAGGTCCAACATAAAATCTGGCATATGCTTTATTTTGATATGCCGTCTAGAAGTGGTCTATGTAATTGGTTTTCCTAATTTCAAAATCGTAAAGTAAGAAGACGCGGTAAAAAGCTAAAATCTTATAAAAGTATTTCTATATTTTGATTTGATTCATAAAAGAGATGTCATTCGTTTGTTTTCGTATGACGAGTGACAAGATATGTAATTTGTCACACCACCATCACTGGTATTCAGGTAAGGATACCTGAATATAAATTTTTATGTTGACGTTTCAAGGGCGATCAGAACGAATATATTTTCGAGTGTATTTTTCTTTGTTTTTATTATGCAATTTTTTTAAGTGATATAATTTTCATGATTTGTTTTTATTATTTTCTAGTGAAGTTATCCTGGATGGAAATTTTTAGGTTTTGAAAATACGTGTCCATCAATCACTTAAATTAAGTGATATGATAAAAACACAAAAAAAAATAAGTAACGTAATGTATTTAACTATTTGCTGTAGCAAGTTTACTTCATATAAAAGTAATAACTTCACATCAAAATTTGAGAGAAGTCTTTATTTTGCACATTTAGGTACCTACATATATTAGTCAAAGAATTTTCTTCGACTTGAAAGAAAACAATTTATGAAACAATTGACTCGTGTATTCAGTAATTTATTGGGAATAATAAATAGAGATATCTTAATAATAATTGTCTGCTACAGACAAAACAATATAAGTGAGTTATTTTTATATTACTAGTTTCTTCGCGACTTCGCTTGCGTGACGGATATTCCTTTCTATTTCAAATATTAAGTGTTATAAAATTTGAAATTAAAGAAACTCAATTTAATGTTTCTAATAATAGCGATTATTCGGATGTGTCTAAAATTGCGTGACAATTTGAAATTTATTTATTTAATGCCAATTTTTTGGTTGCTATTTCGTACGTGTCAATTGCAGAAATAGGAAAGTTCATGAAATATACCACTTTTAGGCAGCGTATCAAGATAAAACATACACCAGTTTTTAAGTAAGAATTTTAAAAATGCTGTGAAAACTGTGCTTAATTTCGTGGAGTAGTTTTTGCGTTATGTCAAGACAAACATACAGAAAATATTTAAAAAATATTGTTCTGGCTTGAATTCTCTTACTAAGACTCCTCACATATATTTTTTAATATCTTCTACTAAGTATATCTATGAGGTTATGCAATTAGTTTTAGACTCGAGGAGTTTTGTAAAATACATGAGCATAGTTTACGGCAGTGTCTGCGAACAGGATACTTATAGTAAATTTTTAAAAACTTGACAAATTTATATCACGAAATTAACAAATTGACCCGTTTTTTTTTTAATTTTAGTACTAATTTGTAAGGAAGCTCAATTTATTTGTAAAACTGTCAGGTTTTAAGTTTTCATAATAAGTTCCCAGGACTGCGATCAGGGAGTTGTTTGTCATAGCACGTTTGAAATTGATAACGCTGCTCCAGAACTAGTCGGGCAATCTCGAAGTTAATACGTCGGTAAATCACAATATCAATAACTACCTACTACTACTAGTTATAATACAGTGTAACTCATCGTGAGTTATTATTCAAAATTACTTTCTTCAATATGTGTATCTAGTTCCATTTCTATAACAAGAATGCAAATGATCAATGTTCAGATGGACAGCCGGCATAATGAACACCAATACATTTGGAATAAAGTACAACCTGAGCGATTTATTGTTCGATTTGTTAAATCTAGTCCGTGACAAATTACAAACTCGCTGTCAATTAATATATTCACCTTTATTGAGTTCTGTAGATAAATGACTAAAAACGAAGTCTAGGCATAAGTAATAAGAAGACTTCCGTATACAAATTATGTCGTATTTATCGTGTACGTGTACGTATGTGTGGATATCTTTACTACCTAATATAAAAAATTTGGAACTGAGTTCGTTTTCGCAATTAGTCATCTGTCTTTCAAAAGTCTATCAGAACTGAAAATTGTTGGTTTTAAAGCAATGGTTCTTCACTTGTGATCCGCGGATCACTGGTGGTTTTTGAAAGTACTCGAAGTAGTCCGTGAAGCCATTTGAAAAAGGTTAAACAAATGACAATCATTAAGAACTATTACTTTAAAGGCAGAATTAAAACTCACCTACGTTAAAATAGTAAATATATAAAATTGATAAAATACATTCCGAATAACGAAGCAGTGCAATGTAGAAAAAGAAGAAAGTGAGTTAGTTGATTAATTTGTTTTTAATCTTTAGATTGAGTTACATGCGCCAAAATTTCTTTACACTGCTCGATTATTCACTAATGATATTTATGTAAGCAATAGAAATTAAAAAAAAAAAGCTTCAATCGAATCAATGGCTTAAAATTAAGAAAGTATCAACAGATATCGAAAGTGCCGGTTATATTCAACTTTCTTACAAATCTAGTGAAAGAAGTATTGGTATTTATTGATAATGACAACATTATACTCCAGCCTGATTATGATAGACCTTGTTCTGAAATTCGTAACTGCGAACAATGTTACTAAGTACAGATGTCTAACAAAGTAAATTATAATTTATTTATTATTATATAACCCGACAAACAATATTAATAATGACAATATGTATAAAACGCAAATGTTTAAAGTAAATAAGATATCTGCAGTAATAAGTACTTATAAATTTAATTTGTCATTTTCGATTATACTTGAGATCTCTTCAACAAAACTTTAGATGAGTTCTGATAAATATTTTGTCGGAGTAGGTATTTGATGGAATTTGGGGAGCTTCTTCAAAATTTTTTCCTGCAAATGACAAACGCAATAGAATTAAAAAAAATCATGACGATCGAATTTTAACTGCGAAATATAAAATTTCCATGTCTATCAGGCTTATGTTCTGTTTTTTATATTTAGATGCTGAACCCAAAAAGAATATTTGGAGTGACGATGGTAATGACGGATCGGTCGCTCAATAACGGCTCAATTAAGGATTTATTATTCTTTACAATTCAGTATTCAGTATATGGGACACAATGGAAATATGCAAAGAGAAACATATAAAACCTTGTATTGGACCCCATAAAAAAGGTTCGTCAAGATACAAGGTCGAAAATAACTGAACAGAGTCGCAAACGCGCAATGTTTCACCGCATCCGACAGCCCTCACATGTCGTTCTGGTGAAATGAAGCTATAAAGAAAATGGAGGTAGCAAACTTTTCATTTATTTATAGGGATGTTATTACTTCGTTAGATTCAAGGCTCCCGCGTAATGAAAGACCTTCGCGTGAGAGCGTATACTATTGTTCACTGCGAATGTTTAGAAGCGATATATCGAGGAGGTTCGGGTAAAATTTTCAACAGTACGAGTGAAATTGCTCTAAACTACCGGACTTGTACTTGTAGTACTATGAATATATAAAACGAACAATAGTCCTATGTTTTATGTGAAGTTAGCATGAATATTGTATTTCACAGAATAAATCTTAGTTCTATAGTAATATGGAAGTGGCTATCTATAATTTGAAGTTCA